AAGATTGAGAAAGTAACTAGTTTGTAAGAGGAACAGCCCAGGGAGCAGTGGTTCTCAACCTTGGCTGCACATTAGAGGTGTTTGCTTGCTCCCAGGTGGAGTTGTTGCTGAAGGCGGGGCTGTGCCCGGAGCTTGCCAGGACCTGATCATCACGTGTAGCCCGAGTTAAACAGACCCAGGATCAGCTCCGAGTCCGGGAGTGGTCTGGGAACCTGTGTTCCCAACACCTCCGCGGGCGGGGGTTCCGCTGTGGCGAGCGGGGCCCCTGAGGTTTCTCCGGCCCGGAGAACCGCCTGCTGTGCGGTTACTGTCGTTGACAGACCCTAGGGGACCGCCTGCGAGAAGAGCATTTTTATATTTCCCCAAAACCGAGCTGTTTTCCTCCACCTTCCTGTTTTCAAGTTGTGAATTGATTCTAGGATGTTTGTGTAACGCAGTGGTTCTCAACCTCGGCTGCACATTAGAATGACCTGGGAATCTTGTTAAAATCCTGATTTCTGGGCCTCGTCCTCCGGAAATTCTGTTTCTTTGTTACTAATGTCGTGGCCCCACCCCATAACAAAGAAACAGAATTTCCGGAGGATGAGGCCCGGAAATCAGGATTTTTAAAAAGATTCCCAGGTGATTTTAATGTGCAGCCAAGGTGGAGAACCACTGGTGTAATGCGGGGTGAAGTCACTTGAGGTTAAACATTTAAAAAATTTTTAAAAATTAAAGCAGTTTTAAAGATTTCTTTGGGATGTATGTACACATAAACGTAATGCCATTTGAAAACGTAATACTAGGCCTCCGAATGCTAGGGTTTCCTTTTGGAATGTCGCAGAAGGGCCCTGGGTAAACTGGGGACAGTGGTCATTGCCCCTGGGGAAGCTGAAGGGGAAGGGCACCTGGCATGGAGGGTGGGTGACATCTGACACCCTTTTCCTGCTGGAGCCAGGTCCCTGTGCACTTGCCTGCCTGAGCTGTCTGCACTCTGCAGCTCAAGGGCACACAACTGGATCCGTCAATCCTCTCTGCAGGACACCTTGTCATGACTGATCCATCGCCGGCCTGTGTTTGGTTGCTTGTTTGTTCCTTTGTTTATTATGACATAATAAGCACCAGGGTTTACCCAAAACTAAGCCCTTAACCAGAACCTACATCTCATCCACCTTCTCCCTCCCTCTCCTCTAATTTAATAGCTATCAACCTAAATCCTACATATTCATTCCTTTTTCTTTATAGCAAGGGGTTTTTTTGCTATAAGAATACCTACAAGTATTCTTAAAAATATATACCACTTTAATTTTAAAAGAACTTCATATAAAGGGTATGTAATCTTCCAGGAATTATTTTTCCCTCACTTAACCCCTTCCCCGGCAGAAACGTGTATACACGTTTTCACAAAATGTTCTTTTTCAGTCGTCGATGAGTATACTAAGAAAATATGGTAAAAAAATATGGTTTATAGGAAGACGAGTTACAAACTGTTTTCATAACCAGCATCAAAAATACTATATAGAACCAAAATAAAAAAATTAGTCTGAAAAAGAAACGTTTTTAACAAAAAAATTGTTGGGGAAGGGGTTAATAGATTACTAAAATCGCCTAAATTGCTGTGACTGGCATTTGTCCATTTTAACTAGTGTGTAATATTCCATGGTGCGAACGTACCAGAGTTCATCCATCTGCTCTCCTGTGGCTGGGCACGTGGGTTGTTTCCTGGTCTTTGCCATGTGTGCAGTGTTGACTCTGATCTATGATCTTTCTAAAAAGTGCCCTAGTTTCTTACTAGTAAGTGAATGTCCACAGAGGTTGGATGGTAGGTGACTAGGAGATAATGGCACTGATTCATGCTTGCCTGCAGGGCAGGAGATTCTGTGGGGCCACATTCTGTCTTAATTTTGCCAATCAGACTGATACACAGTGATAGTTCACTATGATCCCGCATTTTCCCTGCGTGCAATGTTTCAAGAAAAACAAAACAAAATTATTGATGTTTTCCACAAATATAATGACAGCAACTGATTACACTTGTTTCACTTTTCGAAGACACTTTTTAAATATTTTACACTACGTGCATTCAAAGTTGTGCTAAATTAAGTTTACCACTGTGTTTGGTTTTAACAGTTTGATTTCAAGGGTCATAATTGAAAAACTGAAAGAACTATAACACAGGATATAGAAATCTAAATGAAACCCAGATATGATTGGCTATGCTGAATAAGTTGTTCTGCTCTTTCCATTCCATTTACCCAATATACATATTGACTAGTCATTAAAAACAAAACCCAGCCTGGAAATGCTCTTCCCTGCTAATCATCTGGGGCTTTTGCAAATTCACCGGAAACGGGTGTATCTCCGTATCTTGAAGTGGATTTCAAACCCACAGGAGATGCTCAGACAGATTGGAAATTCTGTTGCTAAGTTTAAACACTCAGATAAAGGTGTTTATGTCATGATTTTTCATTGTTTTCAGCAGCGGTTCTCAACCTTGGCTGCACATTAGAATCACCTGGGAATCATTTTAAAATCCTGGTTTCTGGGCCTCATCCTCCGGAAAGTCTGTTTCTTTGTTATGGGGTGGGGCCACAACATTAGTAACAACGAAACAGAATTTCCAGAGGATGAGGCCCAGAAATCAGGATTTTAAAAAGATCCCCAGGTGATTCTAATGTACAGCCAAGGTTGAGAACCACTGTA